AGGAGAGGAGAGGAGAGGAGAGGAGAGGAGAGGAGAGGAGAGGAGAGAATTGGAAGGAGCCTACAAAGATCATCCAGTCCAACTGTCTGACCACTTCAGAGATATCCAAAAGTTAAAGCATGTTATTGAGAGCACTATCCAAATGTCTCTTGAACTCTGACAGCCAAGGGGCATCAACCTCCTCTCTAGAAAGCCTGTTCCAGCGCTCAACCACCCTTGTGGCAAATTAATTTCTTCTAATGCCCAGCCTAACCTTTCTTGGCACAGCTTTGTGCCATTCCCATCCTGTCAACAGTTTCCAGGAGCATAGCCCGGCATCTCTCGGCTTTCTCTCAGGGAGCTGAAGAGAGCTTCCCTTCTTCAGACTGGACAACCCCAGTCACCTCAGCTTCTTCTCACAGGACTTGCCTTCCAGCCATGCTACAGTTCTGTTGCCCTCCTCAGTGTGCTTCCAAGTACCTTCATATCCTTTCTAGATTGCAGAGCCCAGAGCTGCACACAATATTCAAGGTGAGGCCATACCAACACTAAATACTGTAGGAGCAGAATCATCTCTTTTGACTGGCTGGCTTTGCTGTGTTTGATGCATCACGTACTTCAGACATAAGGAATAAAGATGTATTCCCTTCAGTGTTAGCTCACAGTCATAATTACTCAAGTCTTATGACAAAATTTTACCTTTTTCCTCCCAAACTTCTTAATAAGATGATTGCAACAAGTATTGCTTTACCTGGGCAGTATCTTTTCTCTGAACCTGAAAACAATGAAGAGCTTGTCCTGGACAACAGAACCTTTTTATCTGTAGCCCAGAAATATTCTGTGTCTCTAGAAGGGGAATCCAAACCTGATCAGAAATGAAGCTGTGCAGGCAGGGTGGCTGTGGACTCTGTGTAACATACCTTCACTGCATCATCCCAGTGCTGCCCAGGGGTGTTTTACTGGCTGCAGGGACCAGAAGATCCTCACTCATGGAGCATCATAGTAGCACAGCAGCATCTAAGTCCAACTTTTTCTCCACCAGACAACCTATTTTTTCCATTTTAACAAAAAAGATGCCATTACAAAGAACATCAACTAGTACAAAGGAAAAAAACAAAACAAAGCCATCCATGGGAACACTGGACTGAAACACCTTGTTCACTCACAGCTATAGCATGACGTTTCAAATATTCTCTCTCTTATGGGCATAGGCCCCGGCTGAACCATGCTGTTCAGTTCTCCCTTGTTGGGGCTGTTTGTCTTTGGTTTTCAACTGTCTTATCATGATATATGTGTACTCTGCATACCATGATGTGTCAGGCTAGATCAGCCTACAACTTGTCACACACAGCAACAAATTAAGGCAGTATGAGTGAGCTGCAGATACACATCACATGACATTGAGAAGTTAATAAAACTTAGTTTGATGGAAAATACATTGGTGTAGTAAACATCCTTTGCATTGTATTTCTTTCTCTCCTAGCTGGTTGGACTCTGTTTTTTAAATGTGCACTCTCTGAAACTTCAAAGCTGATTATGTTATTTAGAGGTATGTCTTTAAATGTGCAAATGTGCATCTTTGTTGTTCCCTTAACAGTTATTCTGGCAAAATTATTCCAACTCACTTTTATCAGTTTGCATTATTAGGAAGAGCCACTCTGAGACAAGACAAAATGGCCAAGCTCCTAATAACTGTGGGCTTTATATAGAGGACCTTACATTCACATTTTTGCCTAAAAGAACCAAAAATTTTCACTTAGCATTATGTTCCAGGTTCTCCCAGACACGTACCGTTCCTTTCCTTTGCTGCCCACCTCACATATTCCCCTGAATGTGTGTCAAAGTGTCAAAATGCTGCGAAGAAAATCATACCCCTTTCAACACCCACCCTTTCTTTGTAAGCCTGATGTATTGGAGAGAGCTCGGTTGGGCTAACCTGGAGAAGAAGAAGAGTCTTGAGCCTGGAAGCCAGAGCTGGGAGCGGAGCCGTGCCCATCTCCCTGTTGAACTTGCTCTGGTTTGTGTAGGCGTGGGCTCAGTGAAACTACAAGGCTGACTCCAAGCACGAGAAGCTCTGCAGAAGTCAACCAAGAACAATAGGACTGTATGCTGCACGAGCTGGAGCTGTATGGACGTGTTCCCTTCGGTCTGGTGGCTGAATGGCAAACTGGAAAAAAAAAGGAAAAAAAAGAAAAGATTAAGGTGGGGTTGACTCCAAAATGTCTAATATTTTGGTGCATCAAACATAAGACCGCCCCACACTTTCATTTTGGGTCACTTGAGATTGCTTTGATTCACCTAGAATGGAAATCTGCATGCTGTTTGCCTTTTTAAACAAAAAAAACGTAAACACCAAATACCTCTAGCTGAAAAAAAAACATCTATTTCATAATGTCAAAATGAAGTTTAAAGCAGTGTCAATTTGCTCTCATAACGAGAAGTCTAATGTTCTTTTCATCACATTGCTTTCAAAATAGTCATGAACAAGAAAGGTTAATTTTGAAATATATCTGGCTTTAAAAAGTCCAGAATTATAAAGTTTAATTTGAAAATACAGAAATGAAACATTTAAACCTTCCTGAGAAAAGAAATGCCCCTGTTTTTTCTTTCTGACAAAACTCCTCACTGCATTCAACCTGAATTTGTGAATAGTTTTCCACTTCAAATTGCACTTCTGGCAAACCTAGTCTATCCTGGAAAGATTCCACCAGCTCTGTTGAAACTGGCACATGCTCACATACTTCACTGAATAAGAGATTTCATCCCGTAAAATGGGGATAAGAGCAAAACTTCCCCACTCAGAGAGAAAAATCTATGGGCTGAGTTGTTAAAGTTGGTAAAATATCAATGTCTCAGGCAGACACTGAAGGTTTTGACTTCCCAAGATGTAACGCTTCAAAGCAAGAGAAATTTTTGAGTTTTAATGAGAAGGAGATTAGGTTTTAAAAGTTCTGAGTAGGCAGATGAACAAAGAGCTAGTGATAAAACAAGCCAAAGTACTTTAAAATTACACTGTAGAAGGTCTCGAATTTGCAACATTACGAAGGAAGGGGAGCAGGAAGGAGGGAACTCTCAGGGCTGTGAGACGCCTGCATGGCCCCTGTGCAGGTGTCACTACCCATGTCTCATTGTTCTCTCCTTTTCCTGACCAGGAGCACCAGTAATCAATGTTTTGGATGGAATTTTCCTGTTTCATTATATGTGACACATTTGAGACTTGAGTCTTGCAGCAGACTTTTAGCCTATGGCGGTGGGCAGGAGAGACGAAGCTTCACTGAAATGTGGAGCACACGTACACAGAAAGAAAATGGATAAAACATTAAAATGACAGCTTGCTGAGGTGGCTGTTTGTCGGACTGGCTTTAACCATGATCACAAAGTGATGTGCAGCAGTTGACATAGCTTGCTCTGACGTGGTGAAACAAAATCGATGCTTAGCTTGCCCCACTAGACCAGGATTTGCTACATGCACAAAATTTCCCAACCAGGCCACAACAGGTGTGCCAACAAAATTGTGAATGTACAGAGAGATGTGTCTATACAGTAGCCTTGAATCAAACATCTAATCAAACTTTGTCGAGATGGATTCAGAGGTTTGATCAATGAGCCGTGCTCTGCAGTTCAGGTCCATCGTTAATTTTAGAATGCTCATGCATCCCATGCAATGTGACAGCAGAGACACAAGAAACAATGTCAGAGTTAATAAAAAAATACCTCAGAACCAGGAGAAAGCAAATGTTTTGGGCAAAATTCTGGCCTCACTAAAATCAATGGCAATATTCCCACTCCCTTTTGCAGCACCAGTCCCCTTGCCTACAGACGAGTCAAAGGATGCTCTGTAATAAGAATACCCACTGCACTGAGGTTTATTTTGTTATAATATTCCACTTTAGCTTCTGAATATATTTTCCAATCAGCTTTTGTTTAGCTCACAAAGGTCAGCTAATGTAATTCCCGAGCTTCTGGATCAAGTTCTGTGTAGATCGTTCTCTCTAATGCATCTGCCTGCCGTGAACTGCTCACATCTCATATTTTCACTTAATTCCCTTTGAAGTTACCTGTGTGCCTAAAGTTAAGCCTCTTTTTCAAATCTTTACAGAATCAGGGACATAGTTTTTATAATTCTCCATTCAGCTGACGAGGTAAGAGCAATGGAAAAGGGCTCTGATGTATGTAGAATTACATGCTGTGTTCTTCCTCTGAGCCGCTGCAGTACAAAACCCTGTCTGCAGGGAATCTTGTAGTTGTTAAAAATCTATATTTTAGTTTTCTCCATTTGTTCTACAAAACGGAACTAACAGGCACAGCAAACACACACGCAAACGTGCATACAAATATTTAAGAGCAGGAATCACACAAAAAGGCTGTGGAGGATGCTGGAAAAAAGTTGGATTTTAACCACTCGAAAAGTATTTTTTCAAAGGCTACAAATGGAAAATATTCATGTGCTAATTACCACAGGATGTGCAAATATATGAAGGGTTTTTTTAATGTGCTTTTAGAACTTTTAGGAGCAACGTTATGCCATTTAACGCGCCCATAGCGTCACATTATTAAATTTACGTTCCTGTTGGTTCCAACGAGATTATTTTATCATCTCCAGCAAGAAAGAATAAATGCCCATAACTACAATAAAACCTGCTTGCATAACGTATTATTTTTAAAAGAAAAAGATAACTGATCCTCGCTGCTGCCAACTGTTTGAGCCATCTCTGCTTGCAGCAGCTCAAGGAGCTCAGCTGGGCAGCTCTCACGCAGCTCGGCCGGGTTGGACCCACTTTCTGCAGCTGCAAGTGCTGAGGAAGAGGAAAAAGGCTTGGAGTGACAGATGCCAACTTCCCAGCCTCTCATCTCAAGGGACAAAAGGGAAAATGAATCCTCCACTTTTCACAGCTCCCGGGGAAAAATTCCCCACCTCCTTTTGTGCATCTCTGTTACACCAAGGACCTCCTGTTTCCCCACGCTTCACCCAGGCGCAGTGGGGAAGAACGCCTTTCGCTTCTTTTGCACTCAGGCAGCAGCAAAGCACGCACTCTCCCAGTCTACATGCAAAAGCAATGCTGTGTGCACTGCAATGGGGACGGGTGCCCATCCTCACAGTTCTGAGCCCATGTCCCCCTGTGTTGCTGCCTTCCAGCATCTGCTCAGGGAGACGTCGTGCAATGCAGCGAGAGCAGAGCTCTGGGAAACAAATACCAGCGCTCGGCTCTCCAAGCTCTGCTTTTCCTACAGTAGCAGTTTCAATGTAAATCTTTTCCACTGCTGCTCTTCTTTTCAGCCTACAGTTTTGAAACCCTGCACTTTTATTTTGCTCTTCCAGCAACGCCTCCAGCAGCCAAGCCAAGAAAGTCCTTTTCCAAGCGGATCATGAAAGAGTTAACAATGCCTTTTCATGCAAAACCGCAAACAAGCAGGGGGAAAGAAAGAAAAAAAAGAAGAGAAAAGGGGAGGGGGGGAAAGAGAAATGGAAAGTATCCAAATTCTAACAGAGAATAAAAGTGCAGGGAGAATATGAAATGCACAAATCATCCTGGGGTTCAGAGTTGATAAAGTTATTAAAAAAGAAAAAGGAGGGGTGCGGGGGGGAGGAAAAAAAAAACACCCTTAGTTCTGTTCTATACCTTGAGGCTGTGGGAGCGGGGAGAGAGAAGGGGAACGGGTCTGACGGGAGCCACAGCCCCGAAGCAAAGGGCTCTTTGGGGCACGGGCTGCACACCCCGCACCTCTTGGCATGGCCAGGCTTATATAAATTTGGCACTTCTTTGGCTTAAAAAAGAAATTAAATTATTATTAGCAAGTGGGAGAAGAGAGGCTTTTAATACAGGCTGGATCTGGCCGGAGCGCGGGGTGGGGTTTGGAGGGCCCCAGCCGGCTATTGGGCCGTCCGCTTAGCAACAGCATGGAAAGGGCCAACCCCAGCATTTTTACAGCCGGGCCACCTTCCAAGGATGGGTGCCAAATGCTCCGATCCTCTGCCAAGAAAACAAACAAGGGCACTTTTAAAAACTCCAGAGTTAAAGGGTGTTTTTTTTCCTCCTCCACGAGCGATCCCCACGCGCAGTTAATGATCTCTTTCCTTTTATCGCAGAAGTTCAAGCTCCGGGGAGTTGGTGCCATTGCAGGTTTCAGTAGTCGCTTCCACTTTCCCTGTATGTGGCAGTTTCACATCTCCGCACGCCGGAGCGGTGCCGTCAACTGATTTCCCTTCAGATGCTGCAGGCTCCCTCGCTCCATCTTCACGGTGGAAATCTCTGCTGCGTGCATTAGGCGCTGAAATCCGCTCTGCATTTATGCAACTCGCGCAGTTGCAGTTTACTACCAGTGTCATCTCTTACCTCTTCGTTCATCTGAAATCTGCTAAAGAAGGGGAATAAGAATCGCAGAGACTTAAATAGGCAAAAAGTGGCTTGTAGCTAGGAATCCTTTTTCTGCAGAGAACGAGGAAAAAAATTGGGATTTTTCTTTTCCTTTTATTAAAGACATATTTCTACGTCATATTTTTAATGTGGTCTTTCTTACATATTAGCTTTTTAGGTTGCTGCAGCTGGGGGAGAGCCAAGCTTTTGCTGGGAAGAAATACAGACCTCGTGTTTTTCACCAGCTGAAGAATCTCTCAGTCCGTACTGTGACACAAAACCTCTTCTTTCCCTCTGAAGGAGGGGAGTGTGGATGTCAGAGCTCATTTCCAAGACATGCCACTGTTCTCAGGTGCTGGTGGCTTGGTGCTTGCCCAGGCAGAGAGAACTCTGACGTTAGATTTCGGCTTTTGTGCACTAGGGGTTAAATTAAGCAGATTTCTGTGCTGTTGCCATTGTTGCTGTAAGATACTTCGGTACGAGGTGAAGCCAGCAGCACCTCTTGGGAAATATTAAATGCTTCATGGAGGAAGGCCTAAGGAGGCCAATATCACGGCCCTTTTCCCATGCAAGTCCTTCCATTTATTTCAGAGACTGTTCACATGAGTACAGCCAACAGGGTCAGGCCTTTATTTACACACAGTAGCACCTCTGAAGGCTAAAGGATGTCATTTGCAGTCATGCTGCTGTTTCACTTCCTACCTCTACCTCTGATTTACTGGGCAACCTTCAGTAAATCACTTAACCCCTCCAGGATCAAGTTTACCCAAGTGCAAGAACATTGCGAGCCTCCAACAATATTTGCAAAGTGCTTCGCAGTCCGTGGAGGAAAGACCTACTTGCACATGATCAGTATAGCTGCTTTTAAGGAAATAAAGCTCAGTTTCTGTATTTAAACACGTATCCCAACTGCATGCTTATCTCCTGTCTGCATGAGTGGCTATGCACCAGACTCCGCTACTTGGCTTTCGTAAGAAAAATACGCAGGGAAACAGCTTGAAAGGGCATCTCACTCAACTGCGCTCAGGTCCCTTGATCTAGAGCTGCTAGCAATCATTCTCTACAAAGTTTTATCTGGCATAGTGAGAGACCCATTCCTGCAGTTGCAGGCTGAAGCTGAACATGCAGTTCCTAGAAGCAGTAGTCATGGTTTCTGTGCTATTTTCTTTCACTAACTACTCAAATGTTCAGTGTTAGAAAACCTGGTTTAGAGAAGATTTTTCTGACTAGCAATGAAACAAATGATAGGAACCTTTGTGTTATGACAATGCTCCCAACTAAGGCAGAAATAGGAAATATATGAACAACAGGAACCATACAAAAAAAGAGTTTGGGTAAAGGTTCATTGCAGTGAGAAAAGGAAAGGGGCTTCCTTTTTATCCGTTCTGGTTCTGCTTATCTTTTACTAGAGGTTGTTTTGAGTGATGAGGAAGTAGAAGAAATCCATTTGTTTTCCTCATGACACAGCAACATTCATAACCTAATAACTCAGAATAACATCCCTTCTGCCCTAAAGAAATAATCTGACAAAATTAAAGCAAGACTTTATCCAGAGATTGTCCAAATTGGTAGTAAATTTCCACTCAATTGAAAGGGTTTTGAATAAAGCCTTCACGTGGGAGTCCAGCACACTGAAGCAACTTCAGAAAATCTCTATGTGAATTCAGGACCAGGGTCTTAATTTTCTTTTTTTTAATTACTCAGTGCTCAGCCAGGCGGAGCCCTACATACTTTGGTGGGAATTTACAACATAACAAAATAGGACCAAGTCTTGTGGCACGTAAGGACACCTGGATCAACCTGCAGGCCCTGAGCCAACAGCTGATATGCACTGAGGAGCCATTTATCACCATACTTTCCCCAAGAATGGCTTCCTTTGCTGTGCTGCTGGCTCCAGCATGTTCAAAATACCTCCACCACCCTCTACAGTATGTTTTGCAACCCTCTGAAACTGCACTTTATTTCAGGGGTGCATACCTTGTGTCAGTAATTTCTATATACTTGTAGTTGGTTTTATAGCACTTGGTTACAGTAGGTAGTACAATCTGCCAAGAACCTGATATGAATGCATTTCATAACATGCTTTATATAATCCATTATTAGAGAACATTGCTGGATCTGTAATTATGTTTGCAAATGCATTTTATTGAGTTCTACATAAAAGCATGCAGTACTGAAAGCAGCTCTTAGGCTGCAGAAGTATATGTACTTTGCTTCTTTCCATATATTTCTTTTTTTCTGTATATTCAACAATAACGGAGGGGGAAGTACAAAGGTTAGCCTTGATTTCCTGTCAGACTCCATCCCCTGACCCAAGCGTCCTTGAACCTGGGGACAGCCAAGACCCTCCCTGGAATCTCAGCACTATTATCTGCTTTCGTTCTAAATAGCAGAAGTGATTATGTGAACTCCGGCTTGAGATCTATCAAATCCTCAGGTCTTTCTTCTGTTCCTGACACCACGTGAGAAGAAAAAATTACATGCAGCACAGGCTTACCTTTACTGCACAGGTAAGCTGGAATCTACTACAGCATGTGCTAAAAGTTGCGTGCAGCCTGACTTCCCAGCCTGTTGTTGGCAAGCAATGAGCTGCTTGACACATCCCACACTGACAGTGAGTGACCAGCAGCTCTGGGATGGGAGCTGCCTGCGGCGCTTCTGACCCCACTTGGCTAAGCGCAAGGAGAGGAGCTTAGCCTCTCGCCTACAGATTTCCAAGAAAACCTCTCCTTTATGTTGTTAATTTGCAGGAGTCAGGCAGTTCAGACAGCAGCACCATCTCTTCTCATACTGCCTATCCAATAAATGTCCTTTCAGTCAGGGTTGATTATTTCATCTGAAGCTTAAGTCCCAGACCATCCAAAGCCCTTATATACATACAGCAGCTATACCAGTACGCTAATCTGCTGCAAGACTGCTGTCTGTTGTGAACATAAAAACTACTGAACACGTTGAGTTTTTGTGCTTTTTTAAAATCTTGCATGGAAGTACAGTATAAATAGGGTACAAAGCTGGGAGAAGGTGAATTAATTATAGTTCGAGCCTTTTTCCATTTATGGTGAGCTTTCTCCTTCCTCCCCAGCCCCCGAGGAATTGCACTGTAAAACACTCTCTCTAATAGGTTTTATCTCATTCTGCCTCGCCTCCATTTTCTCCAGCTCCTGTAGCGAATATTTGTCTCTCCTACCTGCTGCCCAGTTAAATCAGCTTCGGAGTCAAGTGACATACGCCAGATCGTGGGGGCTGTCACTTTAATTCCCTCTGTACATATTTTTCTCCTCCTAGCGGGGTGCCAGGGGCAGATGTTTAGGGAAGAGACCCCTTTGCTGCCTGGCACGCTGATTCCTGACATTAGCTGCTAATTACAGGAGTCGAAATCCTGGTCTTCACTGACAGCACCCAGAGTTGAGCAGCCGATTTCTCCCAGGTGCAGTTGAGTGCAGGTGCCAGGCATCAGGAACCGCATCCTCAACTCCAGCAGGGTGCTTCAGGAGCACTTCTTGCAGCTCCAACTCACCTCGAGGATCAAGGGAGCAGATGTCTCCTTTCCCTTTCACGCCCTTGTGCTGCCCAAGCGTGCACCTGACTCAAGGCTTTGGGACTCAGGATACATCTCAAAGCCCTTTCAAATCAATGGAAATACCCTCACTGACTTCATGTGGCTTTGATGGGAAACTCAACTTTAAAATCTCACTGGGCCAAAACCACAGCCCCTGCTGGGCTTCTTGGAGGTGTCTGTTCTTTTTCTGCCAAGCTGACTAGGAGAATGCATTCTTTGCTGGCAACTTCTATGGGGAGCTCTAGGTTTTCTGATGGTTTGTTAAAATCCCCCAGCTACATAATCTTTCCTCTGTTTCTGGCACCTTATGGAGCACCCAAATCTAAGTCTTCCTGAGGGCACGGGAAGTTAAGGTTGAGCCAGGAGCAAGCTTGATAGACCAAAATAACCATGATTTATTAGTGGGCTACAGGTTTGGGTTTTAAACTGATGTTTATCAGGAAAACCCTGGAAGGAGGAAAACAGTCAAATCACTGATTAATGCAGGTACAATGGTGGAGGCAGCCAAATTCAAGCTCCTGACTGGTGGGATAGGGTAAAACAGGCCATGGCATCTTGTTGCCCAGCTGTCCCCCTACAGCCAGAGCTGGGGGGACCCTTACACACTGCTGTCCTGAAAAAAGTAAGATTTTGGTATTCCCTTTGGGAAAGATACAGTTCCTAACACCATGCCTTTCTTTTCCAGCTAAAACTTAACACCATCACTAAACAGACAATGATATAACATACGTTTCTAGGTGCAAGTGCCCTGGGAGTGATAAATTGAAGGCTTGGGTTTTAGTTACATTAATAATGCATATAGAAATGCTATTTGAAAATAAGAAAGTGATACATTTTATGCTATGCAGTTGGTGGGGCAGGAATGGAAAGAAGAAATTTAGTTTTACACTTCCTTTGCAACGCTGGGTCAAGGTGACTCCCAGCACAAGCTGGAACAACCCCACCGGCAACCTCCTACACACCTACCTCATACAGCTCCACCTCCTCTCCCCAGCTTAGTCACCTCTCAAAGCTTATTGTAGGGGGAGAGTTGGGAGAGAAAAGGCATTGAATCGCCCGTCCCCTCCCTAGGATGGCCTGAGGCATGACATGGGGACTCTTTCCTCTCTTTTCGTCCTGGTCGGGGTGAAGTATTTCAGTGGGAAAACCGTGCCTAAGGATGTAGTTGTAAATCATGGAAAGAAACGGCTGGAGCAAAGCTCTACATTTTTTACTACTCAAAGAGAGCAAACCATTCCTACTGAACTGAACTTCAATGACCACACAAACCTTACATAAAGCCAGCGTGTGAACGTTCACGTTGCAGCATGAGTTTGCTCAGGCTGTGCTGGTACGAGATGGCAGAACAGAGGCATTTGTATCCTGCATGTTCAGGGAGTGCATGCCTCACTCTGCTTGCTGGCTCTGCCTCTTTTAATGACTTCTCGATTCACCCATGAAGA